TTCTTGAAATGTTACTTTGTAATCATAAATATTAAAAAAAAGTAATAAGCATGATAAGTTTTTTCATCCTCAAGTATTTGTCATAACCTTCTATGCTTCTACGCCTGATGTTGCGAGTACAATCAACACGCGTAGTAAATGTTTAATTAGCCTTTGAGATATAGGTATGTTGCAATTTAGCGACTACTTCATTCACCGGTAGGCGAAAACGGTATCTTTCAGTGATGACGGCATTCGAGTTTAACACTTTTACGGTTCCGTGACCACACTTTGTTATTGATTTTTAAGAAATTATATGAAATACAAATTTATTTTTGCAGTGGTTATACAATAATAAATAATGAATAATAAATTTGGTGGTACTAAACTCTAGGCACATTAGTCACTTTGTCTACTTTGTGTACTTGTCCGATTTTAACTTGTATAATAATAATAATAAAAAAACATAAAATCTACCTATAAGATATGGTAAATCAATAAAAATCACTATATGCAGTAAACATTTTTTAGAAAGAAATCGTAATCAGTGATCACAATTTATAAATGTACACATTGAGTGATCCCTGTGATTTATGAGTCACAAGTTAACAACGGGGCGTAACCCCATACACATGTCCGTAAATTGTTTCATATGACGTGCATTGCTCAGTTATTTCAAATAGTTTATGATAGCATCAGCCGACGAAAATTGAACTATATAATGGATAAATGAAATACGTGTGTATTGCGGTTTATTTAAAAACTTTAGATATACCCAGAGGAAAATTGTAAAGGTCTTTGACTCTAGAATTTTCTCGAAAATAACAATTTTCTTGTATATTACAATATAATATACATATTACTCTAATCATGATTTTTTTAGTGTTTAGTCATTATTATTTACTATGACAATTATTTACATTATTTACCAAGAGATGTTTTTACGTAAAGAAACATCGAAAAAATGCCTGCATTAATACAGGTTGTAAATTACCTCCATCCTCCATTGACTTTAGTTTCACTAAATTATGTCGCACCGTTGCAGAACACACTCCACAGATTCCACACTAACAATCTTTCGTGTTTATGATATTAGTGTGATAATTAATAGATTCTAAGCATACTTACAAGTATGCATTTATTTTATTATTAAATATTCATAGCTATTCATTTATTTCTTAATAATATTCAAAAATATAGTAGGTACAATTTACTTTTTTTCCTTGCAAAACTTTTTTTTTAAATGAAAATGGTATTAAGAAATAATATTGCTATAATTATTAAATATAAGAACTTACAGAAAATTGAGGCTTAGATATCAGATAATGATCTAAAGTCTTCAAGGTCCATCATTTATCCATTTCCATGCAGTTAGGTCAATGATAAATTTCTTTCTCGGAAACATAGATAAGGTTAGCCATTTAATGAATCTCTAGAACTTGTAAACTTAGGATTTTCCGTTATCAGGCTGCTTCCTTGTCTAATTTACTGACATTCAAGTGCGATCAACAATGACGGCTCTATCTCTAACAGCCTACGTATATTCTTAGAAAGTTTGCAAAAAATATTTAGGTATGATATCCAATTATGTGGTATAAACATAATAATATTATCATTCATTCTTGGAAAACTACAACAAGTAGTCCTTACTAGTTTAGTCAAGCAATTATCTCATACTAGCGATTCACTCTCGTTTCGGTCGGGTTCTTCCCTAGTGAAAAACAAAAACAAATCTATCCCACGGGAACTGTACATTTTTCCGGGATAAAAAGTAACCTATGTTCAACCTATGTTCTATTCCAGACTATAATCTAACACTGTGCCAAATTTAATCCAGATCCGTTAAGCCATTCTGAGTGTTATTGAGGAATAAACATCCATGCAAACTTGTGTATTGATGTACGACCTCTTTAGAATTTATATTTTAATTTTTAACCCAACAGGCGTTGCCCTGTCATTTCAATTTTGTTTGTAATCTTTAACTTCATACAAAAATCACATAGAAAAAAAAGTTTTGGTTCTGATAACTTTATACCCCTCATAGGTTTTACACAAATAGTATGGCTCTACATAACATAATTTATTAAATATATTTTTTAATATGTCAAGCAGGGTGGTGTAAAACCACAAAAGAGTAATGAGAGTCCAGTCGTTAAGTAGGTGAACTTCAGTTTCTTACACAAGTTTTAATACTTAGGTTAATGTTATATGTATTGCCTGAATTTGAAATACCTAGTTTTATAAAATAAGGCATTTTGTGGCTGAAGATAAAATTAATTTTAAATTATAATTTTATTAAATGTGCATTTAAAACACTACACATTTTTCACAGTAATGAGTAGAATTATTTCAAGATCAATATAATGTTGTTATCAAATGGTGATTTTTTAAACTATATACATATAGACATGGTAATATTAAGTATGTAGTAGTGGTATTACCGGTGGTAGGACTCTGTTAAGCCTGAGGAGTCCGACTGGATGGGTACCACCCCCTTATCTATTTCTGCCGCCAAGCAACAATTATTACATTGTTTTGTTCCGGTTTGAAGGATAAGGTAGCCAACGCAATTACAGGCAAGAGGCATATCATCTTAATCCTCACAATGACAACGCACCTGCGGTTCTGTATTTTTGTTACATAAAACCTAAGTGCACGAACCGTAGATGTTATGGGCGACAGGTACTGCTTTACATCAGGTGGTATGTCTGCTCATTTGTCCCTGAACCCCATAAAAAAAGTATGTGTAAAAAATTACACGATTTTTTGACGAATTTTTGCTATTTTTCGTTATTTGAAACATCTCGCAATGTACTATGTCCACACATTTTGGAGAGAGATCTACTAATACCTTGCATGTTATCGCTATCGTTTACGTCAAAGCTTGATAAAAGTACGATATTGATTACTAGTATATTATCAAAGAGTAATCTGAATTTGTATTACTCAAAACATAACAAGGCGTAAACAGGATGAACAATTCAAGTGGGCACAGAATAACAAAATTCAGAAATATAGATAATAGTTAAAATTATCTAAATCATTTTCATAGTGATAGCAGATTCGGATAAAAACTAAAATTGTTTTTTTTTGTTTTCTTTATAACTCAGTAGATAATCGCATTCAATACTATGGTACGAGTACAGCAGTTAGAATATAAACGTAAAAGTAAAAGAAGAATCAGACTCGAGACTCATATTTTTATTTAAAATCTACCTGCAAAACCTTCCTTTTCTTCAATCATTCATCATCAGCTATTCTCTATTTGGATTTTGCTACTTACGCCCACGTAAAACACGCGATTATGAGGCCTCAAATTAGTAAATATATTATAATCCTAATAACAGGCTTCATGTACCTATGTTTTTATTTTATGCAATACTAGCATTGCCCGCGGCTCCGCCCGCGTTCAGATGACCAAAAACCAAATTCTTAGGTTTTACATATTAGTATACTCGTACACTGCAGTTTTTGTATTTTTTTCTCAGAAATGAGACATTTTCCTGCGGTAAAAAGTCCTAATGTTATATATGTTAATCCTATATGTTGGCCCAGATAACCAGCTAACACCATACCAAATTTCATCAAAATCCCTCCAGTGGTTTTTCTGTGATGCGGTAACAGACAGACAGACAAAAATTCTTAAAACTATAGCTTCGGCCTCTGTATCGATAATAATGTCTATATCAATAAGATTTTCCAAAAAATATTTAATGTACAGATTCGGCTTAGTTACAATTTTATTATATGTATAGACTAGGGACACAAGCCTGTACTTTGTAAACTTATTACAACAGACTATTACAACTCTCCCGGAAACCACTTGGTATACTTTCCACACTTTTCTTTTTACATTTTCCGGCGCATAAATTTTATCTTTGCGCAAAAAATCACTATCGACTATCGATTACTATCCATGAAAGAATCAAAGCCTTTGGAATTTATTACATTAAATAATTATAGAAACGATTTTCTGTGCCTAAACGATATATTACGTGTACTTATATCATGATAGCAAGTTTATTTTTTAAACGATCCTCAGAAAAATAATATTTTTCTCTTCTAAAACTATTTAGTTTTTACTATTATTACTCACAATACAATACTACCATTTGCATATTCTTTTTTAGGGTTCCGTACCTCAAAAGATAAAAAAAGGAACCCATATAAGATCACTCTCTTGTCCGTGTGTCACCACCGATTTTCTCAGAGACGGGTGGACCTAGCAAGTCAAAATTTATACCAGATACTGAGGTCTATAGTGCCTATTAGGTGTATAAAAATCAAGGTCCTGAGTCAAAACGATAAAATAATATGGGCAAATTTAGATTTTGGCGAAAACTTGTAGGCCTTTAATTTGTGCTGTAAGAGCTTGCTTTTAACCAAAATTGACAATTCTAGGTCAACCGAAAGTACCCTATTGGTTTTGGGTCGAAAACCTATATGGTAGTTCCCGTTGACCTAGAATCACAAAATTTGGCAAAAATCAAGGTCTAACGGCACAAATGAAGGAGAAATTCAAAAAAAATATAATTAAAGTTAAACAGATTTCTTACAAATTTGTACGGAACCCTCGGGGGCAAGTCCGACTCGCACTTGTCCGTAATTTTGTATCACAAAAGATTTTATCTGAGTTTTTATAAATATTTCAAAAATTTAAGAAAAATAATCACAAAAATATGCATAATAATAACACTATTAATAAATACTCATAGTTGAGTTTCATATAAAATTAAGTTTTAATAATAGATTAAAAATTAAAACGTATGCCACCAGCTGTAAAATACATAAAATTCGTTTTAATTTTAATGACCAAAGTATTTTAAGTAGATTAAACTTTTAAATAAAACTATCTTTTCGGATTTCTTAGTCCCAGAATCAAAAGAAATCCGCGAAAAAACCGAAAATATATAGGTATTTAAGATGTACAAATATTCGCGTAAATCTAAAATATTAGATTAAACTTTAATAATTCTGCTATATAAATAGTTATTAAATAAATATGGAAATAATAAACTCACCCTGGGATTTAGTTGGATATAATTCTATATCGTTGAAGAGGCTTTGTACTCGGTGGGCGGGCGCCGGCAGGTCGGGCGGGCCAATACGGCACTCCCAAGCCTGCGCCACCTCCCTGTAATATTACATACATATTGAAATTTTAACTACCTCGATAACTAATTTAAATCGGAATTTACATAACAGTCAAGTTTTATTCATGACGAAGTTAATTACACGACACTAGTTAATTCCAATAACCATGGAACATAACAATCTATATTTATTCCCTCGTTACTGTTAACAATAGATTTCTTAGAAATTTAATTAATTTCTTAGAAATTTACCTGGAGGTGATAGTGTTGTAAAGTCATAAAAAAACATTCAAGTCAAAGAATAGTGCACGTTGATACAGGTTTGAGCCAGCACACATTTGGAAAACTAACTATCATTATTATTAACACCTTCAGGTAAATTTCTAAGAAATCTATTGTAACCATTGAACTGTAACGCCGGCGTCTCCGCGGTCGGTGAGGGATTAACACAATGAAATGAGATGCGTAGGTACTATAGTTTCATCAAAGAATCTTATACGGATATATTTTAGTATCGCGAAATCAACGCATTCATACTTTAATACATATTATACATAAGTGTTTTGATTTGTCTATTCTTCTTTCACGTAGAAACAGAGTGACGGATTAGATTGATTTTTTGTATGGTAATAGTTTGAGGGCTGGGGATTATAGGCTACTTTTTACCGCAAGAGATCATCTAATTCCCACGGGAAAACACGTTATAATATAATCCAAAAAAATATTTATGATCAGAATTACTTGAGACTTGGTATTAATGCTCTTCAATACAATTAAATAAATACGTGTTTTAGCATTTTTCGAAATACATCCTATAAGGGGTAAAACGAGGGAAACCTACTTTTTTATATTTTTTTTGTAGTAATAGCGCGAGCGAAGTCGCGAATTCTGCTAGTATTCTATAGTTTTATTAGAGGTTTAGAAGTTATATGAAATTATTATATCACTAGTTTTTTTAGTAGTTTTATATTTATTAGATTATTGAAAATACAATTTTTTTTACTTATTGCTATTACCCTTAGCTTAGTTTCAACTAGGTATATAAAACTGAAAACATTTGACATTTAGGTGTTTTAGTAATAAAGTACCTATAGTTTGACTCATATGATTGAAACACTTCCGTTCTGACCGTCAAAGTAATGACAGTTATGACGATTTTTAAGATAACTTATCTTTATATATCTATGTTTACATTTTATACATATAATGTTAGCCTATTAAATTGAGAAATAGGCATTGACGAAACCATTAATAAGTACTAATACTTTAAAATTTTCCATAATTTTGCACATTTTACTAGAGTTTAAACTAGAGTTCCTAGGTACTTACTGCACTTGTAATATTATGCTCACATACCTAATTGCTTAATTAGTTACAGCTATATTAAAAATTAAGGTTTGTAATTTGCCAAATATGAAAAAAATTAAAATTTGTGTCCAAAAAAATTTTTTTTTTGGAGTAAACCACCCATATCACTTAGGGGTATGAAAAATAGTTTACGTCCTATTCTCAGACCTACTGAATATGCACACAAAATTTCATAAGAATCGGTCAAGCCGTTTCGGAGGAGTTTTATTTTGTTACAAACACTGTAACCCGAGAATTTTATATATAAGATAATCCGCCATCCTTGCGACGTAAAAATAGAACAAACAAACAAACAAACAAACACACTAATATCCATACTTAATACTTAATCTATACTAAATACTAATATTATAAAGAGCTGTAAAAGTTTGTGAGTTTGTGACGTTGTTTGTAGGGGGGGTTATCTTTGGATCTTCTGAACCGATTTAGATAAAATTTGGTAAAAAGATAGTCGCGGTTGATCATATAAGTCCCACGGGAAAACACGTTATAATCCACAACAACCTGATCATACCTATCTATGTTTATTGTATATATTTACTATACAGTCTATCTATTCCATACTAACCGTTAAGAAGTACCTAGGGACGAACCCAATTGAAGCGAGGGTGAGTTAATTATATCAGTAGGTATAGATTCAAAAAATATGCAAAGGGTTACAAGAGGGCACAATGTCTCTACTTCTGTAAATAAATGGATTATTATCTATATGAAATCCGGTACGTCCTCGCGTCAAGATTTTATTCGAACCGAACTAAGTTCGCCGGACCAATTTAGCAATACATGATAATGAAATAAAACTATTTCGATTTTTGGTCACTGGAGAGTCTGTCTCGTGACCATGATTGCTGTAAAGCAATTGTATTCGAAATGGCGGGAACCAAAAATCATAGAAGATATAAAATGAGATAAGAAATAATAAATCAATCTAATAATATAAGTCTAACGACAATTTGCTTAAATTACTATGTATTTATAGTTATTGTTAGACATTTAGAACAAGGATAATAAATTAATAATTGTTCTCATTAGGTATTTAAGAGATTTTTTGTGCGATAGTAAAGCAGCGTAATTATATTTTATTACGTTAGTAATGCAATTATATTTATACATTTAAAAATAAAATATTTTTTGATATTACATTATACATATATATGGTAACATAAAGTGAAATAAATAAAATTAACTAACGGACATTAACAAAAATAATAAAAACAGCAATACCTCCATAAAGTTAAAACATTTAAACTTACGGAATAAATTGTATAAGTGGATACGTAAGTAGTAAATCACAATCACATTGATCGGGAGTAAGTTCAAGGAGGAGCGCGCACCTTTGACACATTATAAAAACAAAACTTGTAAAGATCTTCATATTCAACTACCTTAACTGAATGACATGTGTGAAGTAGTGGATGGCAATTGTTATATTAATAGTTCGCAAGTGGATTTGTCAGCATATAGGTAGTAACGCTGTAGAATGATCTGACCCGGGAGATAAGCGCTACTAAAGTCCGATAAACTTATGTATAAAACCCGCCGTAATAAATATATTTACAGCAATATATGTTTTGATATTTCTCTAAATCAGTGTACGTATTATTTGCTATATCTATATATTGTCCATTAATATTAAGTTATATTATGAAAAAGCCTTTAACTTATAATCAATAAAAGATATGAATCGTATTTTATCTATTGGATTATCCTAAATCAAACAGGAAACAAAGAATAAAACAGGTCATTGTTCAGCTAATTAAAAAAACATCAAAATTACTGATGAGGTCACAAAGGCAGTAATTTAATGAGAGTGGAGTCAGCGATCGGCTTCTTTATCGGCGGTCTCGCAAAAAACAAACTTTGTTAATCGTTATAAATAATATCACGATTCAGAAACCATTTACTAATGCGTAACAATACGTATAACACAATAAAGGTTTGATTCAGCACTCTAGAGTAGTAATCACTATCTACTTAGGAGGTTCAGGTTCAACTCCGATTTGGGCAAAACATTTTGACTGGCCATATTATTTGGTCGCGGTTAGAATGTGTATACGGGAGTGTTTTAAGTATGTCTCATAACTCAGGGTATTGTAGACGCCACTGAGTCTGTGGTGTAATTTAGTACAATTACGTATCCATACTAATATTATAAAAATGCAGAGTTTGTTTGTTTGAGAAGGTTTTTTTTTGTAGATTGAACGCGTGCGAAACCACGGGTTCTGCTAGTAACTATTTATAGTGAGAAACTTTATTATTTCATGCCCGGGATATTTAAAACCAAGCTTAATTATTCGTAGCAACTGTGCAGACGCTGTTTGTATGAGCGATTCGAATCCCGTATGAGTGTTAGTGGTAATCAGCCGTTCTTATTGAAATTAGTCATGTAGTTACGAGGGAGCTATTATAGTGCAAGAGTGGGCGCAAATACAGGTGTAGACCGATGGGACGCCAATTCGCTACGACCGGTAATAGCAGCCGCAGGAGCGACGGATTTTCGTGCTTAGTGCCGAGGGCGTAACATCCTCAATTTCCGACTCTGGGAACGTCAACACTAATAACTAATTAGTACCGGCCGACTAGAACACAAAACATACTCGTAAAGAAATGCAGTCGAAAAAGAGTTACCAGAATAACGAAATAATACACCTTTTTCTATTTTACTAAGGAAACCAAAAAATGTGAGTCTTTTCAGTTTTCATGAGATTTTTTTATAAGACAAACAAATATTATTTGTAAATGTGTCATCAGTTGAATAATGAGTTTTTCGCCGGCTTTTCTGAGCAGAACTCACAATTACAATTGACAATTCAAAACTGCTTCTCAAAGTCTTTAAGACGGCATTTCAAATCTCAGGTCTCGTACCTCAGATATTCTCATATTCTCATGTGCGAATCATTCTCAATATGATAACCACTTGCTTTACGGTGAAGGAATACATCGCGAGGAAACCTGCATGTCTGAGAGAACCTAGCAAGTTTTCGAAAGACATGTGAAGTCTGCCAACCCGCATTTGGCCAGCGTGGTGGACTATGCCCTGATTTCCATCGTATCGAAGGGAGGCCCATGCCCAGCAATGAGACGGGACGTTAAAAAGGGCTGATTACATACATACATACCCACATGTTTAATGATTTATTTTAGAAGTAATCGAAATTAAAAAATTTACTTTCAAAATGAAATATCTGGAGGAGCGGCAGTGCTCCCGCCAAGTCAAGCAAAAAGGGCACAGCCGTAGTATCCTTTTCTCGAAGCCATTTAGGATATGTTTGACTCCCCTGCAACTTCGCTTTGGAGAAAGTTAGAAGCCTGAATTTTCAGTGACTAAGAGGATATAATATAACTAGGTATAATCCCAAATCACATTCAATTTGAACCTGCACTTTAAGAACTATTAAAGAAATAAAGATATGTTATATTAATACGGTCTATATAAAATGTTGTTATTTAACTAATTATGTAATAGGTTATAAATTTGTGAAAAAGTTGTTGGATGCATGGTTCCATATACATTAACCGACTTGGTTTTACATTAGATCTCAAAACTTTTTGCGGTAGAAGAACTGCGTTGCGAGACTTCATTTTTTATACATGTTATGTTTTTCATGGGATTTATATTTCCATAAAGTATAGACCTTTTTACCATGCGAGAACTCTTCTCCATTTAATATGGTATTTAATTTAGGTTTATTCCAATTCATTGCGTAGTTAGTATAAGAGTATAGCATTATGTGACCCGTGGTATAGGTGAGTGTAGCAGTATTGATATTTACAAATTAAATAAATGTATTGACATAAATAAAAAGTATTATCCGCATAGGAATTAAGACGTAACTGAGCTATCATTGTATTCCTGTATATTAAATATCTCAGGAATATATTTATTATTTATCTATACAGATAAATAAAATTGAAGTGTCTGATAGTAATGTCAAAATAACAGGGTTTTCGTTTTTCGTACTTATAAGAAAAAAACACAATTTTTTAAATTTTTCTCTGTCTATTTGTTCCGAATAATCTTTTGACGGAACTTTCACTGGAAGATAGCTGATGTTATAGGGAGTAACATAGGTTACTTTTATTTTAGAAAAAAATTAGGGTTCCACTCAAAAAAATATAACGTACCTAGGGACGAACCCGCGCGAAGTTAGAGTGAGTCGTTAGTGGTTTAATAAAGTAGATTTTCGACTTCTATAATGTCCTATTACTACATAAAATCTACTAAGTAGATAATATTGTTATCATAATTTGGATAATTCATATTTATAAACGAATGATGACTACAATGTAAATATATATTTAAATAGAAATACCTACAGAAAAAGAATGAATATTTTATTCATCAGATAAATTGAAGAATACTATGTACATTGTGTAAAATTTTATATAATATAATTATTTAAACCGCAAAATATTACTATGGTCACAAGAGCAAAGACTACGAACGCGTGCGACCCAGGCTGGCGAGCGGGTACAAAAATATACCATGACATCATGGTGTGCGAGAGAGATCTCGCTTTCGACCTTCCGTTCACACACTACACGCTTATTTATAAATACACTAGTGAGTGCATTTACTCCATTCGCGTTTAATTAACAACGTTCGATTTCGATCCTGATTGATTATTAAATTTGTCATTGAAATATTTATCCTTTTATAACAGAGTAGTAGCTACACATATAAATTTCAAAAAATATAACATATATTTTAAAGAACCTTTAGTTTAATAACACCTTTTTTTGGCCATTATAGTACTATGCCTTTATGGTCGATGGTGAACGTTTTCGACGTCACGTTTTCTTAAACAGAAGGAGAGAATATACATATAAGTATTTGTATCTTGGTATGTTCGCACCACCTCTTAAGGAGCTTGCCTAGGTCGATCTTTAATATTTAATAGGCATATTATACGTAAGTTTTTTTTAATATTAAAACAGACATATTATATGTACTTTAAGTTGAGAGTATCCAAGAATAAGACATTGTTCTGTTAAGGATTAATGCAGGAGTTTAGGGTGTTGTGAATACGTAGCAGTTGGAAAATACAAAGATAGTAGATACTACGTAATTAGAATTTTGTAGGACTCGAATGGATCGTATTATACTCATTTTTGAATTTCGACACACCTAACATTTTTGTACTTTAAGATATAACTACGAGTAAAATTAATACAGCATACATACAATTGATTAAGGTAGGTCATCTTTGCGATTTCGTTCGATACAATAAAATTAATGAGATCGTTTAAAGAACGATCGAAATACCTGGGTCGAGTAGTGAAAAGTTATATATAATTTTCATAAATACAACGTTACTACTAATAACTATAAGTAAAATACACTTTAAAACAACATCCTTGCTTTTCATATTTAATATGTACCTAATTCTCTTGTTAGTGCGCTCTCTTCTATACATATAATAAAATTCTAACTAAGCCGAATCTGTACATTAAATATTTTTTGGAAAATCTTATTGCAATAGACATTATTATCGATACAGTGGCCGAATCTATAGTTTTTATAATTTTTGTCTGTCTGTCTGTTACCGCATCACGGAAAAACCACTGGAGGGATTTTGATAAAATATAAAATAAATAACTGTATAAGCTACTTGCAACAAACTGTTTAAGATTGTAGTAAATAATGAGAGCTCTAATATACCACTACATATATATATATATATATATATATATATATATATATATATATATATATATATATATATATATAAACTACTTAATAATATTATATCCAGTATAATTATTGTCTATTATGGACAGTTAGATACTTAAATAGAGCCCGCTAGCTTATAAACGTAATTTAAAGTGCATACAAATAGAAGCGATATTAATAGCAATATTTAGATTGAACCTTTAATAACTTTAATTATTTTTTACTTATTTTAAAATGAACTATATTAAAATTGAAAAATAAAAATTATTTTGAAATGATAATATAAATGTACCGATATATTAGAACTAGCATTACCCGCGGCTCCGCCCGCGTCCAGATAACCAAAAACCAAATTCTTAGGTTTTACATATTAGTATACTCTTACAGTGCAGTTTTTGTATTTTTTCTCAGAAATGAGATATTTTCCCGCGGTAAAAAGTATTCTATATGTTGACTCGGATAACCAGCTATCATCATACCAAATTTCATCAAAATTTGTCCAGTGGTATTCTCGTGATGCGGTAACAGACGGACAGACAAAAATTCTTAAAACTATAGATTCGGACTCTGTATCGATAATAATGTCTATTTCAATTAGATTTCCAAAAAACATTTAATGTACAGATTCGAATAAGTTAGAATTTTATTATATGTATAGATAAAGCCAGCCAGTGCGGCTGCTACGTAATTAGCGACATCACCTCCGCCCTGCGGTGTAAACAAGCCACCATGATGTCATTTTCATGTTGTTGACCCAACCGCAATGTGTGCCGACATTTATTTTTTGAATACATACATACGAGATGATGACAGATAAAATACTTTATTTATATCGACCCATGTCAAAAAGTATCTATTTACTTAAGTAATTACTTCGTATACAAAAGTCACCTTGCTCTTTTCTCATATATGTACGTACATACATAAAAAACTACGATTCTCAATATTTCAAATAATCTTAACAGAATATAGAATGAAATAAAGTGTCTCTGGATACGCTTACCTAGTAAAGGCACCTTTTAATTTTGTCGTTCCGTTTGTTTTACTCATCAAATCATGTTCGATATCTTCAGAGTGCTGGAAGGAGGTTGCCTGAGGCAATTCACACATAAAAGGTTCCATTTTACAAGAAATTAAAGTTCTTTTAGGTGGAGATGTTCTTGGAAAAGTATGGTGTCGAGAAGAATTAGCAGAATGTTCGCTACATCTCGACTTTGGCATCGTCCGAGCGCATAAAACTGTCGCTGCATTCTTCAAATGCGTTCGAAATCTGTTATTACTTTGGGTGCTCAATATGGCACCCTCCATCTTGAATTGAATGTTTTTCACTTCACTTATTCTCAATCCATTGTTATCATTTTCACTACACTATCGTCTAAAATATACTATCACATTTTCAAGAACATGTTACGTATTTCTCTTATAAGAGTTAAAAAAAATTTATACAACAAAGTGCTATGGAGTTCATCAATCAAAATCAATCAAAGCATTATAGAGGGGATTCTTTTAACAAATAAAAAACATTTCTATTATTATAAATCGTGAAATTGTAGTCGTGCTTCGTGTATTTGGTATTAATAGCTAGTAGAATGAACAATAAAGTTGAGTTGAAGGAATATGAAAAGTTAAGCAATATATACTTGTTTGGTAAATATTATGTGTGGTCGACTTAGCGGATGGCGTACGACTGCATTGCGGTAATAGTCGACTCTAAGCTGTATTACAAGAATCTAATAAAAAATCTAATCTAATGGATTTTTTTAAATAAGGTACCGTCAACTTTTAACTAGTCCCATTCAAGCTACGAGTGATTCATACATCTACATACTTACGTACTTTAATTACATTTTATATAAAACCGCTGAGCAAACAAACCTACGTACATCCAAATCGTTCAACTCAATAGAAAATTCCTACAGTTAAAATCAATCTTTGAATATTTTATACAGTTTGACGGAAGGCTTTTAAGCGCGGGCGGTGCGGTCAACGGAGGGGCGGTGGGGAGGAGTAGGCGCGCTGACATCACCGTCGAAGCCGCTCTTACATCATCCAGCTAGCTGCTTACTCCCACCGCCTGACGCCTGCGCGCCCCTTCTGCCACAACATATCTCGTGACAGAAGGTTAGCGAAGGGAGAGAACAAACAGTTCATCGAACGCACAAGACCTTCGTTGTTTTTCAGAGAATTGTCTATATTATATACTTACACGTGCTCAGAGCAGACGTATAATTTACATATTTATAATATTTCGTTTGTGTTGCTATATTATCAGTTTTTTCATGCATTTTTGTACGGAGAAGGTTTTAATATTATGTATGTATTTAGCGCTTTTTAACATCCCACTGCTGAGCACGGGCCTCCATGCAGTAAGATCAAGATAAGGGATCAGGCCATAGTCCACCACGCAGGCCATGTGCGTGTTGACGGACTTCACATGTCTTTCAAAAACTTGCTAGGTTCTCTCAGACATGCAGGTTTTCTCACGATGTTTTCCTTCACCGTAAGGCAAGTGGTAATCATGTTAGAAATGATTCGCGCATGAAAATATCAGAGGTGCGGTACCGGGGATTTGAACCCGCATCACTCGGTCTCCCAAGCGAGCGCGTTACCATTGGTTTACCACTGCTTGCCTTAATTAAAGAAAAATAAATATAGCGCATAAGAATTTAATAAAAAAAATATTTTTGCCAAAGTACTAAAAATAATCTATAAGATTATATATAATTTATTTGCGTTCAGCTAACATACCATAACAAAATAATTGCAGCCATTTAAACAAGATAGTTTGGACGAAGTTGTAAGTGCAACAGACCAATTTATCACCGCCCACGTTATTCACTGCGACAATACGACATCATTGTCGACACAAACTGCTAGAGAATAACATAATATTTAAGAGTTGTCATACCTTTTTAAATTTCATATTGTTTTCTTTTAAGAATTTCGAAAACTTTTTTTCATCCACCATGAAATATTAAATTCTAATAATTTTATTTACTTGTACTTTTATGTACTTACTACCTAATTAACAAACTAACTTAAAAACTAAAGGTATCTACTTCTTACTATTCTTGAATCGATTTGAAATTTTGTAAGTAGGTAAATTAGAAGAATATTACAATAATTTGATGCCATCAATTTAAATATGACACAAGAATGACTAATTCAATGGCTACTAGTAAAACCTTTCGGTTTGGACTCATAGATGATGATTGGAGACGGTTCCGAGTAGTTCTATTTGTTCGTCAAAAGTATTCGTAAGTAACAACTATAATAAAATTAATCTATGTTTATTTCTTTATTAGTTGATTAAGGTCGTCATGTATTAAGATCCATGTAGATAATTTTTATACACTTAAAGAAAAAAATTGTTACAGAAATTAAAGAAGTCCATACATAAATATAATATCCATATGAAATGTTTCTGCTTACCAACTGTATTTCCGTGTACGTTTGATTCTACTATCATTTATCGAAATTAAAAGAAACCGTAATACCATATTAACCTTCCCCAATTTAGCAAATCAGGAATATTTTTGCATTTGCTAGCATTTTCCAGTAGGATAAAAACCACAAAATTATAATAAAAAAAATATTAAAAGTTTACAAAAATAAGTAACAGTGTGCAGACAATAATATATGCCAGAATACAATTCGATAATCGTAATGATTGTAATCATATTATTAGTTAATAAATAACCATAGTTCACCATAGAAAACAAGCACTAAGATATCAAGGCCGTATGTCGCCCACAGTACTCTGACACCTGCAATTATGCTTACCAGTCGATTGCACTTTATTTGTTTATTTATCTATTTACACTTTATTGTACACCACAATCATGAAGTAGATACAGTTAACAAAATATAAAACAAAAACAAAAGTGTGCACAAAAGGCGGTCTTATCGCTAATTAGCGATTTCTTCCAGACAACCTTTGGGTGATTAAATATGGAAGACTATACAGGGAAGACTTTAGTCAACAATAAACATTAAATTAATCTTATTAATAGTAAACTACTCCTGAAAGAATAACATAGAATTCAGAATATTCTATCCTATAGGATATTAAAATATTTTTTCAACATTTTAAATGAAATACTGATAGAATGTGTTAGATAAAATGTACCATATCAATATAAAAATGGAAGGGAACTGTCCCACATTTCCCACGCCTATTATATTAAATTGGCTTATCAATCACTGTAGCACGGATGCATCGTGGTGTCGGTGGCCTGTACGTCCGTGGGTGGGGGTCCTAGTTTTATTGCTGACTAATCGTAATCAGAATAATAATAAGAGCATTTGGAATGTAATGCAAATTATAAAACAATCAAATATATTATGTAACTATGTATGTATATAAAAATATATTAACTGGTTAGATTTTTTCTACCTTACAATGTTTAGAATGCAGGTGTTGTGTGAAGTATCTATAGGGTAAGTTAGGTCAGTTTACAACCAAATCCGTATTACGTATTATTAATATTATAAATGTGAAAGTTTGTATGGATGTTTGTTACTCTTTCACGCCAGAACAGCTGTACGCATCTGGATGAAATTTGGCACAGAGATAGATTATAGTCTGGAATAACACATGGGCTTACTTATAACTTTTTATCCCGGAAAAATATACGGTTCCCGAGGGATAGGTTTGTTTTTGTTTTAATATAATAAAATAGTAGTAATAAAATAAGTGTTTTATCTATCTAGACAGCATTTCCAGAAGTTTGAACTAGAACTTCCTACTTATACTTTCATAAAGAATCTAAATAAAACGTGTAAGGCGTCGCAGGTGGCAATCATATTATATTTTTACATAAATTTATATTATATTCCATCTTGCGATTAGTAAAGGTCGTGAACGAGGATATGGTAATCGAAGTCGTGCGTTTACGTACTTACTTATATAATAACAAAGCCATCATTGTTCTGAATGTTATATTGATATGTTGAATTGAAATTAATATAAATGTTAGTGCGCATTAACCTTTTATTTCTATGAAGTAGCGAAAATTATAGAATATAAAATGTAAAATGTAATATTCAAAATAGCTTTAGAATAAACTCAAAATAAAGAAGACAGCCGTTTCGTCTGACGTTCAACAGCCGCTATCGGTGACGCTTTTTATTGGACAAGTCTTTTCCATAAGATCATCGGTACTTAAAAACCGTTGGTCAAATTACTGATTTTTTTTAAAATAACACAACAGAAAACTATTCAGTGACAACGAACTGACAACCTACTATTAATACTTTCTTAGATTTACGCGAATATTTGACATTTTAAATAAAACTATCTTGTCGGATTATTTCGCGGATTTATTTGGATTTTTGTTTGCCGGCGTTTCGAATGCTTTTACAGCATTCATGGTCACGGGAGAGACTGAGGTGTTACATGTCTCGAAGGTATAGTTGTTACAGACAGCCTACCCACAAATAAAAAAATGAAAATTTCACCAATTACCTTACATTTTTTTTACTTTAAACATTTGTTTAAAGTTAATTTGTTTAAAATCCGAAAAGATAGTTTTATTTAAAACCTACTATTAGATCATACAAGGTTGTGAAGTTATCTCCTTTAGTATATTATACATCAACCGACAGAGGTCAGCCAATTTAACGTATTGATTGTGTTCTCATCTATAGAACGAATTCAAGACATCCTGGCAGTGGCAACGTTTTGCTCTTTTGTTAAACATATCAATAGTTTCCTGTAGTTACGCGTTTGAGCATTGTCGTTCACAATTTTAAATATTACGCTAACAAGTGATCGCGGCATCGCTCGAATCGAGTATAACTGAATATGGACTTCATGGACAATGAAAAAAGTTGATCGCACTCATTTGAGACTTATTGAATTTATTTTATGGCTTGAATAGATTTCACGTTATTAGCTATTTACTAAAAAAGTGTGCACAACATGTGTAAATAACGAAATGCTAAAAGAAGGAAAATTTCAGTGATGTTAGAATCTATTTTTTTCTCTCAATTTTATATAAACAGCATTAAAACCAAATAAATAAATATATATATATATATATATATATATATATATATATATATATATATATATATATATATATATATTACGCCATCTATTAATATTTGTTAAGAACTAATATTTGTTTTTTCTTGAAGAGACCCTACTGCAATATATTAACAGTACCTACTACCTAGTACCTACCATGATAAGAATTTTCACTGTTTATTCTATGAGA